CCCCCTCCCCTTCCCAAATCTATTTTAAAATCTATTTTCATCCAATTTCATTTTTCGAGCTTCAGCCACGAGACAAAAAAGCAATTTGCGTATGCGGGAGTTGGAACAACTTAAGAAAAACTATTGTATTGTAAATTATTGTTGAATTTGTTCTTATCTTGTATGTCTTTAGAAATTACATTTAGAAGTAAAAAAAATTTTTTCCCCACGGATTTGAATTTGTTTTCGTTTGGTGATTTGAATCGTTGAGATTCCATTTCAACTTAAATATTTATTACGAAGTGGATATGAGGCTGTTATCTATGAAATACAAATACTCTTATCGTGTAAACGAAATAGAAAATTTTTTCTTACCTTATAGATAAAGTGGTCTTGTTGGAAACTTGTTCAATGAATGTGTTGCTGGAAGATCTTTAGTCCAACAGCAGTTTCAGTAACGAAGTTCAGTTGAAGCCTGGATTTTGGACAAGAATGCGTTAAAGTTGGTTTATCGAGATAATGAGCATATTGTACTTCATACTTATGATCTTGAAGCTGTAAGCATAGCTCTTAGATACAATTGTCGACTCGCGAGAATTTTACAAGAAGCATTCGAAACAACACATATCTATTATTTTCTGTGATGGTCGGGAAATCCAGAATGAATTTCTGGGGAATCTAGAGTAGTGAATTTCTGGCGTGGGCAAGTTTTTAAGCCTTTGTGCGTTCATTCATTATACGAAAAAGGCCTTATTTAGGCAAACAAAACCTGGAGTAAGATAGGAAATGGCCTGTTAATGATGTGACTGAATACAGATTACCAATTAAATAGGGTTATTTTTACAGCTGTGTTCACACGAATAGACAACACAGCGAGCAATACTGTGTTCATGACCACGTCCCGACAACCACAGCACAATTAAAAATGAAAACATCAAGAAAAATACTTTAAAATCATTTCATAGGATTCAAATATTAAGGTAGGTGAGTTTGTTATCAACTAAAAGAGATGGCATTTAAGAGAAAAAAAAGAATGATGCAAAGGAAACTTGTCTTTAAGTTCGTTCAAATTGAAGACAACTTGGAGCCATGATTGTCGGTTCGTCTTCATTAGCAATATAGAAAAGATCATTTAGAATGTCTCGAAGTTTTCCTGTCACATCTAAAGTATTAAACAAAGGCAACACCAATCTAACAAGGACTTATCATTAAGTAATGATCCGTATTTGATAGGATTATCTCAACGAAACAGTGGAAAATAAGTTACAAGTGAAATCTAGCTTCCTAGAGACACCAAGTTGGCTCTCTCTCGTCTAGAACGGACGGATTTTTGGAGGTGGAAGCCAGTCAGGCTTTTAAGAATTAAATCTAAAAAACGAGTTTTAGACACGTTTAGACATGTTTAAAATAAGTCATTGGCAATTACTGTCATCGTTTTGGCCTTCGCGAACCTTCTCAATGACACAGGGAGCCCATCAGTCATTCAGTTCTCTTGAGGCTCGACCTCGAAGCAAAAACTTGTCTAGATACATAAGGGAAAGTATCCTTTATTACCTAAGGCTATTTCTGATTTAAGTAAAAGACAGGGACAATTTTGCCCTAGAGTCAAACACGGAAGCCCGAGCTTAAGGTTGTCCACACGCAAATCAAAACTTTATCGATACCCTGAAACAACCTCTGGGCTGATCTAAGACAGGGCATGGCTAACTCACAGATAGAACCCTGAAACAACCTCTGGGTTGATCAAAGTCAGGGCATGGCTAACTCACAGATAGAACCCTGAAACAACCTCTACGCTGATCTAAGTCAGGGCATGGTTAACTCACAGATTGAACCCGGAAACAACCTCTGGGCTTATTTAAGTCAGGGCATGGCTAACTCACAGATTGAACCCTGAAATAACCTCTAGGCTTATCTAAGTCAGGCCATGGCTAACCCACAGATAGAACCCTGAAGCAACCTCTACGCTGATCTAAGTCAGGGCATGGCCAACTCACAGATAGAACGTTGAAACAACCTCTTGGCTGATCTAAGTCAGGGCACGGCTAACTCACAGATCGAACCCTGAAACAACCTCTGGGCTGATCTATGTCAGGGCAGGGCTAAGTCACAGATAGAACGCTGAAACAACCTCTAGGCTGATTTAAGTCAGGCCATGGCTAACTCACAGATAGAACGCCGAAACAACCTCTCGGCTGATCTAAGCCAAGGCAGGGCTAAGTCATAGATTGAACGCTGAAACAACCTCTGGGCTGATTTAAGTCAGGGCAGGGCTAACTCACAGATAGAACGCCGAAACAATCTCTCGGCGGATCGATATCAGGGCATGGCTAACTCATTTTGTCCACTCATGTTTTGCGCGCCGCGTTAACCAGTCAGCCGGTGATTCATGGCGTAAACGCACCCATATTTAACAAATAAAACATACAGCTTTTTCCGTGCTCCGTTCAGTAATAAAGCACGCAGGAAGTGACGTAAGCACGAAAGAAATGTAAGGAGAAACACGAGCCGTAGGCAAGTGCTTTTAACCGACTTCTTGAGTGCTTACGGCGCTTCCTAAGTGTTTTATTAATGAACGGAGCACGGAAAAAAAGCTGCTTTATTTTATTGTATATTTACTAATTTTATATCGGTATTGAATTTATTTACGCAAAAAGAAAGACGGTCGCAGGATCTAGCAGCACTTTGCGCGCGTGGATGACATCAGCACTGTGCTTCGTTCACTAATAATGCACAATTTTCGACCAATCAGCGCGCGCGTACTATCCTATCTACATAATAATATATATTAGTTCTTGATACCTACTTACGAGTATGTGTTGTCATAGAAACACGGCCTTGATTGACGTCCACCACGATGGCAATGAACTATTCCAACGTGATGAGAAGAAGCGTAAACAACAAAGACGCGAAACCTGGACAAATAAATATGAAACATGTTTAAATCTTGCTTTGAAATTATGAATTTTTTTCGAGTGCAGTTTGAAAAAAAAAAACCATCACGAGTGCAGATTAAAATCAAATGTCATGAGCCGAGGTAAGGCGAGATATGTACGAGAACTCATTTGATTTTCTTTCAATAATATGACTGTAATAAACTGTGAAGCAGTTCAAAGGAGAATGAAGGCCACGCATCGTGCTACGCGTCGTTTTTCTCCTGACACTTCTCTCGTGTTCTGCCAACCCCCGCATGCTTTATAACTGCACACAGCATGCGCGCGCGTTTTCTATTTCTTCAATATTATCATTATTATAATTTTTTTTATAGATAGATATTATTTATAGATTATTACAATACATATATATGTCTTTTTTCTCTCTTTCTCGGACCACAGTTTAAACTACTGGTTTTCCAGTAATTGTTTTATTTCAATTAAGTCTCTTTTTTTTTTCTTTTGCAACGTGCGTCTCAATGTGCTTCACAATCTTTGCTTTCAGTCAGACTTTACGTGGCCCCTATAAAGCCCCGTTTATATTTTTGCGGCGATTTTTGGTGCGATTTTTGTGGCAATTTTCGGAAATATGAAATCTTTTGTCTCATCCTTCAAAAGAGACATTTGTCTAGGAAAATCTTGGTATCCTGAAAAAAACTTTACAAGTAAATTCTTTACCACTATTTATTATGGACAAAATCGCAAAAAAGTCGCAGCAAAAATCGCTAGTGTAAACGGGGCTTAAGGCGCCATTTGCTTCTTTGCAATCAGGAGTAGCGCTTAGTAGTTACTACCCGGTACGTTATGTCCTTAATGATAACAAAGGATTGAGAGATCCGGTTTTACGTCCTTATAGTCCAAAAGACTTAAAGGTCTAACCATATTTGTAGATGTAATTACAAAGGCAGCACCTTCTTCTCTGAACACCCTGAGTGATGATCCGGCCGGGGCTTGAACCATAACCTCCCGCACGACAGTGGTGCTTTCTATTTAAACCAATCCATCCGGTTGGAAATTCATTCGCTARTCGTAAGAAAAGAGCGGGAAACTTTGACTTTCGAAAAATGGTACGCGCGTTAACCGGAAGGACCAAAAAGAACGGGAAAAGTGGATTACTTCAATCGGAAGACCGAGTCAAGCCCCCCCTCCCCCCTTTTATTTTTGGCTGGATCCAGCCCTGCATCTTTCATTACCATCGTCATAATAATTATCACTCGTACAACAAAAGTTTAAAGATTCCTGTCGTTGATTGGTCACTGTAATTCTAATAATCTAAGTAATGTGTATGTAAGACAATAGAGCAGTTTTTGTATGACCGCGAAAAGCTCAGTGCCGTAAGCGTGACGTGCCGTGAGCGTGATACTTTCTAGAATTTTAATTGGCTGATTTTTTTCACGCGCAATATGATTGGTCTAAAAAGTGCCGTGATCTTGGCGTGACCCTGTCCGCGTCGTGTTGATGCCGTGTTCCGGGTATTTGATTGGCTGGAGAGTAAATTCTCGTGCAATGTGATTTTTCTGGCGTATCCCTTGCTGTGTCATGACAGTGTTCGTGCCGTGATCTTTTTACAGTCATACGAAAACTGCACTATACATTTACTTACTTTTTACATGATTCGGTGAACGGTCATCTTAGGCATTAACCAGAAATAATACCTCTGTCCTTAGTACACCGCGGCGCCATTCCGCAATCCTCGTATAGCAATTCTCTTTCGAGATGTAGATGGTATACTTGAATGGATTAATAAACCTTCCTAAGATTCCTCTGACCAGCATTTTTTTCTCTCTCACTGAGCCTGATCCCAGTTGCCCCATGTGAGCTGAGTTGCTTGGTTCTTTTCCTGACTCCAGGGTCTTTCCGGCCCTCCTCTCAGAATCAACCCTAACTGGTTAGAGCTGTGCCTCGGAGTCATACATGGACTATATAAACAGCTGCCAGAGGCGTCTTCACATACTTTCGGTTCTATATGTGCAGTGTGTGCCTCACTGCTGTACTTTGTGGTGGTGACAAGGTTTATTCTTGATAGATGCTTCTTGTAAAACTGTATTAAAAAAAGTATAACTTCGTTTAAAAAAAAAAGATTCCTATGTTATGGAAATATTATGGATACTAAATTCACCCGATATTAGGGACCGTTTTTTATCAGGGAGGGGGAGGGGAGCGGTGGAAATCTGCGGCATGTAAAAAATCCGGCTTATAGAGGGGGATCACATGTAGAAGAATCAATGTCAAAAGAGGGGTCCATTCAAATATAGAACATGAGGAGGGGCAGCAGATGTCAACAGCAATATAGAGGGGGGGCTATTTTTTCTTGTATGGGCTCTTGCTGGAATTCTAAAGCCGCCACCCCCCCTCTTCCTGATAAAAAATGAACGGTCCCTTATGGATACTAAGTTTATACCTAGATAGGGTATGTTGCTGTTGGCAAAATTCGATACCGAATTCTTTATTCTGCTTTATAAAATGCTACGCGTCTTGCTTCGTCTAACACTTCTCTCGTGTGCTGCCAATCCCCGCGCGCTTTATAATTGCACACAGCACGCGAGCGTGTTTTCTAGTACTTCCCTAGTTACTGTTGCTACGTCGGACGAGCTAAAACATGTTTTTGATACAGCATGGAACAGAAATATTAACAGGAATATTGAAAATGTCTGTCTTAGAATAAATGCATCCTAAAGGTATATTAAGAGAAAAATTCATATAAAAGATTGCCTGGGAAGATATCGGAAATGAATAAAAGTTTCCTCTTAGTCATATACTCTTTTTTCTCCCGGTTATAAGCAACTCCCCTGCCCGCCCTCCATCAATATAAGACCTCCTGGTTATAAGATTCCCCCCCCCCCCATCCCCCCATTGAAGGGTTTATAAGCCAAGGGCTCATAAGCCAAGGCCTCTTTTCTGTTCGCGCACGTTATATCTACTGACGCGCATTGAGAGTTATGGCACAGGAAAGCCATTTTATAGTCATGGTATAGGAGAAGCCATTTGATAGTCATGATTCAGGGAAGCCATTTGATAGTCATGATACAGGAAAGCCATTTGGTAGTCATGATACAGGAAAGCCATTTAATAGTCATGATACAGGAAAGCCATTTGGTAGTCATGATACAGGGAAACCATTTGGTAGTCATGATACAGGAAAGCCATTTG